TTTCGTTAGCCGATGGACCAACTGGGGGAAGGGGGGAGGAGTCCAGTGACGTTGATGTCCATGACGTCACCGGATCTCCGACGGGACTCCCGGAAGCCGGCGGAGAGGTGAGTGTTTTACATTATTGATGAAAAGAATTTTAATCAATCAAAAATTTTAACGATTAATCGGGTAATTAATCGTTAATTTCCGCAGCCTTAGTTTAGTTATATCTGTTCAATACGTGCAAAAACACTGGTCCTTCCAGAAATCTTATGAGCTGACAACTTCCTGTGCTCTCTGCCCCTCTGACTGTTATCAGTTAGCACTGTTTCCCGCTATTTCTGTGGACTACAAAATATCTCTCTCCTATGTTATGGAGAAGGGGAGAAGAAGTCTGTAGCCTTGTTCTAGGATGAGTCTTGAAAGCAATGGTCACTATGTCACCCTGCGTGGCCCCAAAACGTTGGTTTTTCACATGAGGCACTTCTGCAATTAATGCACACAAGAAGTTTAAACATTTTCTGTTTAGTGCTGGGGATCTTCATTGCTTTCAAGACTCAATGCCGCACGGCATCAACCTTGATCTATCACTGCAAGCACCGCAATTTACCAAGGTCCTTAATGCTGTATGGAGTGCGGGGGATACATTTGGAAGTTGTTCTAGGATGATGCTGCTGCTGCTTCATTTATACAGTACACAGTGTTGTCAGCGTAGGACAGGAAGTGTATTACCGGCAGGATCACCAGGTGAAAATAAATGAAAAAAGCTTGAAAAAAAAAAAGAAAACTAATGCAGCCACCACATCTAATGGCTGGTAAGCTGCAATATTTTGCAGGAACCTGTTACTTTGATACTATAAAGAAGAGACTATCACCTCGTCTACTAAATAAATAAAAGGCAAATGATTGCACTTACAAAATAAAAACTTGAAAGATAGAGATGTGTTTAATTTGTAAGTGCAATCATCTGTCTCCTATCCAATTATTAAATAAAGTGATATTCGGCACAATCTGATGCACTCTCTTCTTTACCCTATTTTAGTTCTTTCCATACCCGCTGTGAGTATGCTGTGGGTTTGCAAGGATGTACAGACTCTACCATTGGGTGCAATGTTTGATTGGTTGTTTGAACCTGTTACTTTGCCTTTATTTGTTGGAGCCATTGGAAGAACCTCTGACCATGGGGGAGCATGCAAACTTCTTCCCTTCCTCCCAGGACGCAGTGCTGGGGCCTGAGCGGCCAATTGTCAGACAAGGACCCTGTCACAAGTGGGAAACAAGAAGCTCATTAAAGTCAGGTATACACATATATATTTTCTTTGTTCAACCTACGGCCTGAACGAAGAAGATTTAACAGATTGCTCCACCAATGCTTACGAGCATCAGGAATCAGCCAAAATTCGATACATGTG